AAATATTTTATATTCTAACTTCTCACTTGGTCTTTTTTCTTTCTTTTTCTTTTTTCTTTTTCTTTTTCTTTTTTTTTTTTTTGACAGGCAGAGTTAGACAGTGAGAGAGAGAGACAGAGAGAAAGGTCTTCCTTTTGCCGTTGGTTCACCCCCCAAATGGCCACCATGGCCGGCGCTGCGCTGATCTGAAGCAGGAGCCAGGTGCTTCTCCTGGTCTCCCATGAGGGTGCAGGGCCCAAGCACTTGGGCCATCCTCCACTGCCTTCTCAGGCCACAGCAGAGAGCTGGCCTGGAAGAGGGGCAACCGGGACAGAATCTGGCACCTCAACTTGATCTTCTCTTTTATAACCTTCTTTCCCCATTTGCTTATCTTTTTTGCCCACTTATTTAATTCTTTTTCCTCTCACTCAAAAAAATGTGCTTGCAGAAACAACATTGAAGTATTTCTTTCTAGGAAGGATTTCAATAAACACTGTGTAGACTTGTGAGAAAGGCAGATTTACATATGCCTGGGCTCACTGTCCCATGCCCACCTTTAGTCTGTTTAGAGCTATTCCTTGAGATTGAGAAAACCAGGCTCATGAATGAGAAAGGAATCTGTTTAAAAGGAGAAACCAATACCACCGCCTTTCACTTTGACATGGGATGCGGGGATCCCAAGTGGCCATCCCCACATTTTAGTTTTAACACCAGCTCTGTTAACCACATCCTCTATCTTGAAGTTCTCTTTCCCTTTGATTTTTGAGGTCCTGCTCTACACTGGTTTCTTTCTTTTTTGGACAGGCAGAGTTAGACAGTGAGAGAGAGTGAGACAAAGTTCTTCCTTTTTCCATTGGTTCACCCCGCAATGGCCGCTGCAGCCAGCGCACCGCGCTGATCCCCGTCTCCCATTCAGGTGCAGGGGTCCAAGCACTTGGGCCATCCTCTGCTGCACTCCCAGACCACAGCAGAGAACTGGACTGGAAGAGGGGCAGCCGGGACAGAATCCGGTGCCCCAACCGGGACTAGAACCCCGGGGTGCCGGCGCCACAGGCAGAGGATTAGCCTAGTGAGCTGCAGCGCCAGCCTACACTGGTTTCTTTATCCTTACACACACACATTGTACCATTTGAAAATCCTAGAGGGCTCCCTTGGGGTGTGTTTAGCATCAAGCCACATGCTGCTTCTTTACTCATGTGCCTTCCGTTTACTTGGTCTATTTAGTTTCAGGATCTGTCCTCTCTCTCAGACCAACTGCTGCTTAAAACCTGTTGCTCTCACGGTTCTCAGGACATTGCAAACTCACTTCCTGAATCAATCAGGTGTGCTCTGCCACTGCTTTGCAACACTTCCGGCCGGCTGTGAAACATGAGGCTTCTGAAGCCTCTTTCCCGGGTGTTCTCTGGAACTCAGAGCTGGCCCACTCCCCCTTCTCCTTCTCCACCCCCTGTGTCCCTGCCATTGTGCAACCCAGCACCCAGCCTTCAGGAAGAGACTTCCGTTCCCTCGGCCAACACATCCCCCCATCACCAGATCCATCTTTCGACAGCACTGCTTCCCGTGTACCACTGTGCTTCTAAGACACCTTCCAAGGCTCCCCACAGTTTACAAACAGTGGTCCATGTTCCCTTATGTTTACACTTGCTTAATGGATCCCTGGGCTTTTTGATAAAACTGCCAGACAAATGCAGAATGTCCAGAAAGGGGGAAATCAACTTTCACATCTTCAAATGCTTTTTCAGGAAGAATCAACAAAGGCGGAATTCTGGTTTGAGTCCTATTTTCAAACTGCTACTAGAAACAAGAAGAAACAAGAAGCCCACAGTAGGGGCAGGAATTTTGGACATTGAAACCACAGGGGCAGAGCTACAGCCTCTCCCGGGAGCTATGCAGCAGGAGCCCTGCAGGTCTTTGTATTCTCCTCAGAGAAGGCTGCTCCTGCCTCCACTGCCCACTTGGGCTCGGACCAGTCACCTGCCACTCTGCACTTTCTCCTACAGCCTATTCGGCAATGCTAATGCTGTGCCACATGTAATTAAGTTCACGCCTCCCTTCTGACAATTCACATCAGCAGATGACCAGCTGGCTGGCATCCAGCTGGAAACACACACACACGCATGGGTTTGGATGTGATAAAAGGAATCAGAGAGAGGGGAAAATTTAGAAAAATGTTCAGCATTGTCTTATGCGAGCCTTGAAATAACAGCCATATCTCCTGTTGCAGCCTCCCAGAGAAGTCTCATCTCAGATCAGCAGAGGACGGAAAGGGTCTGTAGCGAGCAATAGGAAATGTGGGGTAGTCAGAGAGCAGAGGCTGCGTGTGTTTGGGTATCGGTGCTACAGAGGACCGATGGCACATTTGAAAGCAGAAGAGCTTGTGGGTCTGATCAACCTGTGTTTGAATTCTGCCTTTCTTGGTTATGAGCTGTGGGACCTGGGCTATGTGACTTGATTGTCCCGAGCCTTATTTTTTTCTTTAACTGGGAGGTCATTCTTAACTTGCAGAGTTGTGGTGAGCAGTGAACAACAATTTGGAAAGCACTAATGTGTTACAACCTATGAACTGCTCTAGAGCGTTCTCACAGCTAATTTACAATTTCAAGGAAACGTATTCTTCCTCTTTCTTAGAATTATCCCACGATAGTTTTCTATGGTTCTCAGGGAAAATATAAAATGAAATTTCACATAGCCTTGTTACCAGGAATCCAGCCTGGACACAGTCCATGCTCTAGTGTACTTAAACCTCCCAACTCCCCAGGCTCAGCAGTTGAGGGAATGACTTACAACTACGTAACAGGACCCTATGTTAGTACTGTCTACTTCATATCAAAGTCTTTCTTGAATGTGAAAAAAAAAAAAAAGAGTTTGCTAAATAAATGTCTCTGATGCTTTGTGTGATTGCTGCATTCTAAAGCAATCTGTCTTGTCCTGGTGTTTTACAAACATCTAATTTACAACAGATAATTAGTGATGGGACAGTTTCTCATGTATCCAAGATGGTTATCTGCTTGAGTTGTTTTCTTGTTTCATGGTCTCTGGTGCCTATTTTCATTGGAGATCTTGAGGTTTCTCTCGCTTCCTTTTCATAAACAGGGTTTCTTTGATGGACACTCATTTCAATACAGTAATTCCCTCTGCAACTGACTTTGGGGGACAAGCATAGAATGGGGTGCTTTATGGTTCCCTTTTTTTCACAGTCTCAGGCAGAGGCCCCTAAAAGCAGAGGATCCAGTCTGATCAACTGTGTTTTCTCTTTCCTGCATTGAAATTCTACAATAATCCTGGGTGCGGTGCCAACCAGATCAGGGGACAGAAAAGCAGAGGAGACGTGGGAGTGCATGCGCTTCCTGCTTGGGCTGGCACTGCAGCAGCCCCTTGAGGCCTGAGGTTCGCTGAAGACAATGGTAAGAAGATGGAAACCATCAGGGGACTTCAAAAAGTTCGTGGAAAATGAAATAAGGATGAGTTCGTTTTGGTGGAAAAAAAGTTGAAATCCATGTATGCTTCTTTTCATAATGCACACTTTCCATGAACTTTTTCAAGACCCTGGTAAGACAGTAGGCACACAGCATGCCTTCTCAGCATAAATTACACAGAACAGCCAATACTTAGGTCTGTTTACACTAAATGTCCGTGTTGGCAAATATATATATATATATATATGTATATATATATATATATTTAATGCTAACCTTGACTCTGAACAAGAGCAGGAAAGAATAAAATAAAATTATAAAATGATTTTGGCATTTGCTAATCATCTTTTCTCCTGCTGCATACAACAGAAAATTTGAAGGCCTGTGAATGTTGCTTTGCTTTGGGAATGGAGAAAAAAATGAATATTAGATGTGGGTAAACACAAGGCCTTTAGTGATTTTCTGTTGCTCAAATTTAAAGCATGAATAATGCTCTAGAAACCTTATTTTCCTAGACTGGCTAGTGTCTGTGTAGGTGAAAGTACACCACCTGAGGAAAAAAAAATATTCTGGGTCACACTGAATATAAACACCAGTATCTCCACCTGGGAGCATAATAAAAGAGCTTTTCAGCCACTGAAGATCAAGACTGAAAATGCATGTTTTCCTAAGGATGAGAGCAGAGAAAAGGAAGAATGTATTAGAATGATAAACCCCTTCTACCTTTGTCACTTGCACTGTACAAAGAGCCCAGAGCTGAGAAGCTGAAGTCCCTCCCTTGGGAAGACACTGATAATTATGCAATGACAATCTCCATTTAGACAGCATCTCTTATTTTCAGATCTCAGTGTACACAGAGCAGGAATCAGGGTTCCAAAGCACAATTTAACACACACACGTCTTAGGGCAAAGAAGAAGGCTACTTACAACTTGTTAGAGGCCAAACTGAAAATGGAATTTAGGACTTGTAAACTCCTCTTGTTATTTTTACTTCAAATGATTTTGTCCGTACAACTGTGACACTTTCCAAACAGCTTTTGAGATTCGAGCTAGTTTTAATCAACCCGAGACCCATTTTGAAAGATCTCGGTGTGCTAAGAGTAAACACAGCAGAAGGTTGAGACACTACAGCCGGAACAGTCACAAAAGGATGACTGCAGGGGTAGAGGTAAAAATTAAGGGCCAGGCTGACGGGGAGGCTCAGGGGTGAAGGGCTGCCCCATCTTTTGTGATCTTTAGCCCTAAAATGGGAACAGCCTGGATTCTGAGTCAGGCCACTGAAGCTGACATCTCTGTGTCTATTCTTATGTCTCTCTGGAATATCCACGGATCACATTTCTCACCAGCTTTCCTGCTAATATGGCCACCCAACCACGTCAGGAAAAGATCTCCAGCCTTCCACCCATACTCAATGTCCCCCCAAATGTCTAGAGCCCCACAGATGAAGAGAATTAAAACTTGGCCTTTCGTGGGTCCAGGAAAAAAAGGTGTTCAAGAAGTAGGGCACGCAAGACAAAAATAGGTCAGGCTTATTGTTCCTATTGCACAATTTTCCTCCCAGTTAGACACTGATAAAGTCAAGTGCACCCTAAAGAGCATATTTACCTCATATTTTCTTTCCTGTGTACCGTCACATACATTTCGTAGACTCTCCCTTGGGGAATGGCCCCGGCAGGAATCAGCAGACTTACTCCTGAATAGCAAAAGAGAAAATCAGGCAGTAAGACACTTGAATCCAAGGGAAACTTCACGGAATACCTCTGCGGCCAGTCCAAGCCAGCGGGGAGGTGCTCTGACCCAGCAGCCAAGGGCTGCCTCCTCTTCCCTGAAGATGTGGAAATATTCATAGTTGTTCTGTTTTCCTTCCTTTGCGGCCTCATTTCTTACCATAGCTCCCTCTCAACTGCTATGGAATCACTTAACGGGATGATGTAACTTCTTAAACCCTTGTTTTATTTAAGGAATAGACAGATGGTTCCACTGTTGTTTTCCTTGTAAAATAAGGGGAAAACCAACAACTGCTATTAAAATTTCAAGCAGCTGTAAAGATGCATCGTTTCCAATTTAAAAAAAAAAATCCCCAAAAGATTCAAAGTCAGAGAAATGTTAACTTCAACCATACTAAAACAAGCAAACAAACAAAAACCCCACACATTTCTTTCTGGACTTTCTGGCTAGCATCAGTATTATTCCAGAACCGAATCAGATCTGTTGAAGGACTTCTTTTATTCTGTGTAACTCTTGAAGGTAAACAGCCACAGGCACTTTGTTCATAGCAGGCCACTGGGTTCTGTTTAGTTGGTATTTTGTTGAGCTGTGTGCAAAGTTAACTGTGCCCATAGCAGGGTTTTGAAGATTGAGGCTGCACTGGGACCACTGGGAGGTTGGTTAGAACACAGCTTATGGGATTCCACTCCCAGAGTTTCTGACTCGACATGTCTGGGGTGGGACAGGAGACAGTGCAGTGCTAACGAGTGGCCTGGGGGGAGCCTGTGATAGTGGTCTGGTCCCAGCCTGTAGGTACCACTAGCCTGTACTACCACTGGTCATCATCCTAGAGAGTGGTGCAGGATGAGCAGCACTCTAAAGATGTTCAGCTCCATCATTTTATTCCCATGAAATGTAGTTTTAGCTCAGCTCAATAAAAATTTATGGAGCATTTTTGTGAGTATAGTGTTCGGCATGGTTGTGAATACCAAGAAGTAAAAGGTGGTATTCATGTCTTTGAGTAACCTACACTTTAAGGAGCCAGGAAACCGAATATGCCCAAATAAACATAGGGCAATAAGACAATGTCCACTCCCTGCACTGGGAAGCCTCAAGAGTAGAGGATGAAGAGTTCAGGGGTTTGTTATTCACAAGCCTTGAGAAGGAAGGTAACTGAGAGCCATGGTGTCATGTTGGTGAGCCGTTAGCTTCGGGAAGGACCCAGAGTGGCAGTGGGAAGACTGAACATCAGGCTACTAAGACCCTGAATCTTCATATTTTTTTGATTAAAAGCATAGACTATATATTCATATTTGTTATGGGGATGAAACAATCATATAGATGTAAGGTAAAAAGAACAAGGCCTGATACCTGTTAGTTCACTGTTGTTGTTCTATGGAACTATCGTTACTCTACTAAAGAAACACTATCTTTGATAATGTAATGTATGTTAACCACCATCACCAAGCTGATACAAAGTCTTTCAAACATTCCTCTCTCACCTTTATTTAAGAAGCCTTTACAATAATTCACATATAAAAAAGTGGCAGGTATAGGAAGGGGAAAGGAAAATTGGAATCTAATGAATATCATGGACAAAAAGAACTTAGGACTAATTATAAAGTTTAAACAAGAGAAGAACAAGAGGGCATGTTCTGGTGCACTCATATGATGGACGGTACTAAAGATACTTTAAATCATTATTTCAAAGCGTATTTAATCTCATGAGAATTAATATAGAGAATTTATATAAAAAGCATTTTATATTACTCTAAGAGTATATGGAAAAATGAAATGGTAGTCTATTAAATATTTCAATTTTATTTGATCCTTTTAAAGGTAAGGGGTGAAAAGTTGCCAAGGCATTGAATTAGGAGACTGAATCAGAAGAAGAATCAAAGACAATTTCATAATCAGCCTTGGAGATCCACTTGTCAGTGTATCACTTGACTGTATAAACACAATTGTTTTAAGGTGACATTAACACTTTGGGTCAATGAAGTTGCTTTTTATTATTATTATATCAAAAATTCACAGTATTGTCTAAAATAATTAATGTAGAATCAAAGAGGAAATCATTAACCCTCTTTGACCCATGGTTCCAAACCCATTGCTACATTGATCAGTGAATACCAATTTTTTTTTTCAATATTTCCAATCATTAACTTAAATTCATCCTTGAAGACCTTTATAAGGCATATTCTCTAGATGTGGGTACAGTGTACAACAAGCTGGAAGCTAAATAGTACTACAAAAAGGTATCTGATGATGGTGAGAGCCTAGAGGGAGCTACCAGGGCTAGATGTTAGTTCCCTATAAACACCTTGTGGTTCAATACTGTGTATTAAAGAGCTAAGTTAATGAAATGAAGATTTGATGTATATTATGATGTTCTCTGATCATCTAAAAATTAGTATTCTGAAGTATTGTTTCTTGCAGCAAACTGGAACTGAACCAACTGATTTATTTTCTAATTAATTTGTCTTTTTTAAAGCATAGTGACAACAGTGAGGGCTGCTGGCTTGATATTGCCTTCTAAAGTTCTATTAAGATGATGGTCAGTGACAGCTCTGAATTACACCTCAGCAGAAAACTGTGAGTAAAATATTTCTAGAGGATGAGCTTCCACAGTTGGTTGGGGAAGATAAATGGCTTTGCTGATTTTGTCTCAAGTAATGTTTGGCTGACACTGAAAGGAGGTTTGGTTTAGGTAGGCTAACTTAAGTTCACCATTGCAGATTTCATAGATACATAAGCACCCCATGGCCGACTTGAACTTTTCAGGTTTAATCAAGACAAATGAAAAGATTTTGGCACAAAAAAAAATGTGGACTGAAGTCACATCCTTGGCAGTCTTGGCGTTCAGGCATTACCTGAGTTGGGAACGATGAGGTGACCCCCAAGGGAGTTGAAGGTGCCAAACGCAGTGCAGGATGGATCTGTCTGCCTGGCTAGGCTCTGATTCTTCAGGTTGAGAGCTTCGTTTTCCAACAAGGATTGGGTCATCTGCGGGGACAGCTTGGACGTAAACTCAGAGAGGTCATCTTGGGGAGTGACAGCACCTGACGTGTTGTACACTTTGATTTTCAGGTTGGGCAGTGGATCCAGAATTGGAGAATTGGTCATTGGGATTTTGTCTGAGACGTCATGTAGGGCATAGACAGGTCCCCTGTACATGGCGGCAGCTGAAGTGAGGTCTGGGGGAACTGCCAGAAGATCTGTATTAGAAAGAGAAGAGAATCCTGTTTGCATTCTCCATGCAGGCCAAACTACATTAGTCAGGACCCGTCCCCCACCCCCTTGCCTTCTGAGCCCAGAGCAAACAGCTCAGCTGATATTGGAGAAGCATAGATTCTAAGGCACTGCTGAAGATTGGGCAATCAGAAATAGATCCATTGTATTATCAACTAGAGATGAGTAGCCAAGCTCTTTCTGCACTTTCCTTTGAAGACTACTCATTACACTTAACGTGTTTAGCTCTTTCAAAGGTTAACTTGAACCATGAGCCCCACGAGGTCACTGTTAGGTAACAATTTCCCTTGACGATATTGGATTTGGAATTGTCTGTGAACCCCTGTATTTGCAGCAATACAAAAGAGAGGTCTTGGCAAAGGAACTCAAGAATTCAATCAGTGTACTCTTTTCAGATAGGAGTTAAAAAGTACTATAGAGCAACCCATCAGAAAAGAAAACAAGTATGATTTGTGCACCTTGTCAACTCTTCAGTGGTTATATGAGGGACGCTAACGCTGTAATGAACTAAATCAATGACAATCACAGTCTTCATTGAGCCTACATTCCAGCTAAGCTGGCTGATCCAACCATCCCTGCTACTGAAGACACACAGGGAGACTGCTCACACGCGTGACTGGGTGTGACCTGGAACATCAACTGACCTTGTCTTGCTGCCTTGATGTTCACAGGCTGAAAGCCTCCATTGAGTGCTGATGAGTCAATAATGTCAGACTCGAAGTCTCGGTGATTCTTCCGATATACAAATAGGGCCACGACTACAGAGATCGCCAGGCACACTATCACCGCGATCACAATTCCAACATAGAGAGCAACGTCATCGGAGTCAGGAGCAGCTACAGGAGAAGTGAAACCATTAGACCAACTGCTTACAGAAACTGCCCATGGTATACATATGTATTACTATAATTTTTTCAGACATTTATTGCCTTTTTTATAGGTTAATTTCAAATCTATTTCAAAAGCTATATAAAATGACTGTGGCCTTTCAGTGGAAAATTATCTCTGATTTCTTTTCCTTTCTCACTCTGCATCAATCCACCCACTAATCTTTCTTCTAATTGTGCAGCATAACAGACCATTTATTACTATGCACATAAAGAAACCATCCCAATCCACAGGGGGGAGAAAAGTTTATTAAGCATTTTAGGTGGAAAAGTTTGGGAGGGTTTTTGAATTTACTGATATAGTTCTTTAAAAACATAGGTGCCATGGTAGAAATATCTGGCATATTTTGAACCTCCATATTTACTGAACCAGAATATTTTTTTGTGAATATCATTCCAGGTCTTCAAATTACTTTTCACAGCACTCCTAGTTTTCCAGAAATCATTGGAAGGGCTGGGTGAGAACAGTATAATTAAGCAAAAGCAAATCTAAGGACCAAAAATATTGGGTTTGAAAGTTGTGCTTTCAGAAGCCCAGCTATGGGGAGCAAAGGTTAGTACCAAAGGCCTTCTTCAAGCCCAGGGTATTGATAGAGATGTGGTACTATCTCTGAAGACCCAGCTTCTCATGTCAGAGGTTTACATTTACATTATTCTTATTCCTGGCATAAAATATAGCTCTACTACCTGGGATGAAGTCCTGGCTCAGTGATCAGAAAGTTCAGATTACTCTAGAAGGCAAGTCAGCGCTTGGCCAATATAGCATATAGTTCCCTAGGGGTCTGTTTGGGCGAAAGCAGGAACAGAAGTCCTGGAAATGTTGCAAGTTACCTTGGTGGCACAGAACATGCTTTGGTCCAAGTGGAAAATGTGATAGAAGCTGCTTAGTACAACAAAACTAAACCTTGGCCAAACCCCTTTGCCATCTTTAAGTCTTTGGTTTTAATTTTCTATGACCCACAAGAAATGTTCAGCTAGGTAAACCAAAGCTTCTCTGCCCACTGTAAAAGAGGTGTGTAAGTTGTCACTTCAGGTAGCCAAGAACAATCCAAAATTGTATAGTTAGTTTCCCATCTGTGTACATGTGTAGAGGTAGAGAATTTTCAAACCTGTAGGTCTCACGACCTCTTGCAAGCTGAGGAACCACTGCTCCCTCATACGGCTCGCAGTCACAAGGTTTCTACAATGTGATAACATAGTTCGTGCACCAGTGGTTATAGGATAACCCACACTCTTGTGCCGCAGTATCTTCCAACCACTGTCAGGAGAGATGAGTTCCCTGCTAGGAATTGCTCCACCTCTTTTGGCATTTTGTATTTAAATATCCTGAATCTGAGTGTCACTGTTCTTTTTAAAAAGTATTGTCCTTCCCAGAGTTTCCAGAATATCCTATTTTTCATCAATCAACAAAGACAGCATTTTTGTTGTTCAGAAAGCCAACGGCATCCCAAATACTTTTGGTTGTGTGAGCACTGCTTTCGTGGTGATGACTTTGTGGAACTGCTACTTATTTGAGGCCCTGCAGCAGGATTGTGAACTCTGGCCAGAACATTATATTTAAGTCAAAGTTGTGCTGTACAGGGCCATGATTACTTATTCAACATTCCTGATATCTCCTGCAAGAGATCTGCATTTCCCGAACCCTTTCCTTTTTTAATATTTGAACTCTGCTCCTTATTTATATCGGCACAGTTCATGATAGGTTTTGTCAGCTACCAGAACTCAAGCTTTGAATGGCAGACTGATAGATTTTGAAGCTGGCAAAGACATGAAATGACCCTTTCTTCTTTGCAGCAGGAAAATCCAATTTGTTTTTTTGTGTTAGAATACATTAAGCTCCTATTTCCTGTGTGCACATCTGTGTTGCAAAGAAAGGTAAACTTGAACTGGGGGCAATATCATTAAATGATTATTCAGCAACATAAAATCCAAACATCAAACTTACAAGAAAATCCATATTCATTCTGGGTTCTCTGTTCAGTTGAAATAGGATAAATGAAACCTTGAAAAGAAAGAAAAAATGGAACAAAAATGGGAACAAAATCAAATTAATGAGGGAAACAAAATGGGAAGCATGAGAAATGGTTTAATTAAAAGAAAAGGAAAAGAAACGTAGTCTTTTAAAATTCTAGTTCGGCACAGGATTATAATTTTGCGTCTCCTGTCTGCTCTGGAGTCTCACTAAGAATTAATAAGTAGGCAGATTGAATTTTGGAGCAAAAACTGGTCTCGAGTCACTAACTTTGGAGTGCTTAAAGTCTTTCTTTTATTGAGCATAAACTCTAATGGATCTAATTTATTTCAGACATCAAGGGTCATTAGCATAAGGAAAGTCTTTTTTTCCTTCTCCCTGCCATATGCTTTAATTCCCAGGACATATTCAGGAAGGCTCTAAACAGTTTTCTTATTTTTTTTTTCATTTTTATTTAATCCTAACAGCTTGCTCTGGGTCTGGCAGGACAAAAGAAGACCTGTGGTCACTGGTCAAGGGTTGAGTACCCATTAGCTGAGCTGAGCTGAGCTGATCTTCAACCACCTTTCCCCTCCATCGCAAATCTGCTTTTTGGATTTTCTGTTATTTTTTGTCCCTTTCCTTAAATAGCAATCCAGTAGGTATTACCGAGGGACTAGATGACTTCTGAAGGTAATGGGAACTGGATACTTTTTATTTGAAATCATTTGAAAATCAGTAGAGCCTGGAGGTTACAAGGTTATTTATTTAGGGCTCCAGAGGAATGGTATACAGTAGGCAAAATAAAATCTCATCTCAACGGAAAAAGCAACACTGTACGTTTTACATTTCTTTCTTTTTAGTGCATTCTGAAGTAGGAAACTATTATTACTACTACTAACAACAATGCAATACTAACCATAACAATGTGAAATGGAGGAAGATAGGGAGAAAGACCATGAAGATATGCACCTGTAGAAAATTTTACATTGACTCATTACTGGCACCCACAGTCCCCCAAGATTTGATATTCTGCAGCATATGAATTAATCAAATAATATAGTGCCGTTTGGATTAATCAAATGACGATGAATGAGAAGCGTGTCAATTAAACCTTCCTAGTAATACTCAAGGGCAAAAAAATATAGGGAAACTGCAAGAATCACAATTAATTGGTTCAAAATGAAAAGTCTGTAAAGCTTTAGTCCTAAAAACAACTCTAGATCGTGCCTCAGGTAGCTGCCCTGTAGTTTGTAGAACACTTGGTTCGTACAAGCTATTTACCTATTTGGAGGAACTAATTCTGGAGAAACATGTAGGGCTACTTTAATGAAAGAGAGGTTTGCTGTAGCACAGACAGGTTTGCTCTGAATTAATTTTTAATGCTTTATTTTAGAGCAATGATTGCAACCTCCTACTCCGTTTTATAAATATTATATTCCTTATTCTAGTTTTCTGAGTCCATGTATTAGGTTTGATTTTCATTTTTAAACACGTCTGTCTGGTAATAACCTTTTTCCATTTGTATTCTGTGAACTCAATAAGAGGACATCAGGGACACATACAGGCTTTATTTTTGAAGCCCAAAGACTTGAGATAAAGCAAGTAGAAGAGGCCAGATAACAAAGCCATCCTTTTGGAAGTGAAGATCTGAAGCAGAGAAATGACAAAAAAAAACAAAAAACAAAACAAAGCAAAAACCCCAAACCTTATTATTATTATTATTTTTTTTGCAGGTGAGAGGGCAAGGATATTGGAAATACTCTGATGTTCATACTGAAAGTGTTGGTCACAATCAGCATTGAGTAAGCAGAAGAGCTGTTTTCCTGTCTTACAATAGAAGCTAATCTCAAGAGAGATCTACCACAGCTTGAAATTTGTTCCAGTAAGCAGTTCAGACTTTTCCCTGGTTTATGTCCCGACTTCTCAACAGAATTTCTGTTCTTGTCAAGCCGATCAGAGAATAAAAGAAAGGAAGTATATAGTTTTGATTTTAAATTCAGCTTTCCTGTATTTATGTAGATTTAGACTAGTCAGATAAGTGCCTTTGGTAGTTATCTAAGACTTCTGTTTAATTCAAGGAACAGAATTTGAATTCATTCACTCGTTCATTTAAGAAGTCCTCTTGAAATCTACTATGTTTTAGATTCCATTTCAGACACGGAGGACACTTTTCTGCTCTTATGGAGTTTATATACTAGTTTAACAGAAAACAATCAAGTAAACAAAAGATGTTTAAATACTGAAAAAGTACTTTTAAAAATAAAAGCCCGTAGTATGATTAGAGATATAGGGATAGCTAACTTGGAGAATTAGGGGATCATTTTTTATTGAGACAGATGAAATTTGAGTTGCAGCTTGAATTACGAGGATTCCATCAAGTAAAAATCAAGAGGGAGTTATGTTCCCCATGCAATGACAGGAAGTGCAGAAGTCCTCACATCCGAGGATACTGCCGAAAGTTTGTGGGGAAGTAGACTTTAAAAGACATATTTTGGTGCAAAATTTTTTGAAAATTCACATGAATTTTTTGTTTTACAATATGCAATTTCCATGAACTTTTTAAAGATTTCTAATAAAAACAGAGTGGTTACAGTTAAGTGAACAGGATGAGGAAGCAAGGAATTGGGGTTAAAAGACTGGGCCAGATGATATGGGCCCGGTAGCCCATGATGAGATTTTTGATTTTATTTTAAGTGAAATACAATATCTGTGACAAAACGTAATTTTGAAAAAAAACTCATTCTATTGATAATGAATTGTAAAAAGAGCCAAATGAGATTTAATGATGATCTATCAATAGATGCATCCATATATCTGATGAAGTGTCTACATGTAAGGTTGTTCTACAGTTGCATTAGATTAAAAATCCATATACAAAACTAAACATGATCAATTATTTCTCACAGCCAGTTAGGAACAATCTAGTCAGTTATTTCCTTTCATGGGGAAATTTAAAACAGACCTGTCTTCATCAATGGTTCAACACCCCAATTTCCTCTGTTACAGAAACGTTGATAAAGAGGTTTAGAAGGCAACCTGTAAAACTTTTTCCATCCTTTCCAAAACACTTCTGTGACTTCTGCAGTAAAGCAGCACTTAGGCGCTGGGACTCAGAGGAGAGGAAGATAACTGCTCTGTCCCCTGGACTCCGGGGAGGGTGGAAAGACAGACTCATTTTGTAGAATTTGTTTTTAGGCTGCTCCATCTGATCTGTGTCTCCTAGAACAACAGGGAACATTTTCTCCAGCTAATGAGGTGGCACCACTGAGAGCAGTCTTAGCAATATTGAAAAATAACATCTCTGGCAGAACACAGTGCAAAATAATTGTTTTTAGTGTCACTACTGACAGCCTGGTTCATAAGTTAGAAGTTTCAGTTAACTTTCTTGCTACTTGAAAGCAAGATGAACAGAAAAACATCAGGGCTGCAGGCCAAGGCCATGAAGCACCCAGGAACTTGAGTTTTTCAGTCGCATGAACTAAAAGTTTTATTCCCAGCTCTGTCACTTCTTCAGTAGTAAAAGTCTGGTCAACCGACCTATCAGTTTTGAAATCTGCATAAGAGGACACAAATAATTACTTACTTAGCTGTAGAAGGGATGAAATTTACAAAGTGCAGGAATGTTGTAAGCAATCAGTGACAATAACCATACCAATATTATTCTTTTTTTCTTTTAAAAAATATTCTATTCACAGGGACAGTGGAGGTACTGGGTTCTTAAGGGATGGTATTTATAGAGTCAATGCAGCCTACTATTTCTTGAGTGATCTTGGGAAACTTGTTTGAGTTTCAGTTTCCCCAGTTATTACAGAGACAAAGAGGTCCAGTTTTTCTGAGAAACCATCTCCAATGCACTCTTGTAAGTACTTTGTACTCATTCCCCCTCTCTGTTTAAAGAGGTTTCTGCCTGGCCTTTGTGGCTTCTGGCAAAGATACAGTGACACGTTTCAGAAGCAGATTTCCAGGGCAGAGCCGCGAATTAAGGCTAAAAGCATTTCTCCAAAAGGAATGGTGCTACTTCTTAAAGAGGTGTCTGCAAATGAGGCCAAGGTGGTGGGTTCGATTTTCTTTGTTTCTTGTTTGTCCTATGATGAAGGAGTTGCTGTTGGCATTTTGTGTGCGAGGGCCAAGGACACCAAAGTCCTGCAATGGGAAGGAATGGGCAACAAATGCTTGCAACAAAATGCCTCCTTCGTTAAGGACTTTGAGGGGACTGGCTCCTGTTGACTGCAACCAGTGGGAACCAAGATCACAGCAGAGCTGTTGTTTCAAGGGGCATGCTTGACTCCTACGATCCCTTCTATTTTATTTGCATTTCTAAAGAAAACTTATTTTTTAAAAGAAGAGATTTCCCTGAGCTGGGAGGATAGGAGTGGAGGCGGTTTGACTGTACGAAGAAATTCCAAGGAAGTGAGGGTACAGTTTGAAAACTGCAGTAGGCTGTCTTAGTGTTCCCTTTCCTGGAAAGCCATCTCCTAATTGCTCACAACTTCATTTCAAGAGATTATCTTGGCTGGCCTTTTTCCAGGGAGGAGGCTGAGCCCTAAAGGTGAGAAGTGTTATCTTCAAAGTAACCCAAAGCATCGAAATTCGTTCAACTCTAAGTGGGATTCAGTGCTACCAGTACGCTCACCCTGTGCAAGCTTTGGATAGTCCAACCCTGTGGTGGCACCATTCACATTTCTGTTTGCTGATGGTGGGAAAATGACTGGAGGATAAAGAGAATTTTCTAATTTGCACAAGGTCATCTGCTACACTAGGGTTGGGGTTTCTCACATTTTTCAGCAGATATCCAATGACTATAAAAGATCAGAGCCCATATCCAACTATCTTCTAACAGAAAAAGTGCTTTCCTTGGTTGGCAATTGCAGTCTGTAACACTGCAATATCTAGCTACATGTACACAGAAGATGATAGCCAAAAATGATCATGGTTTTATGATTACATATTTTGTAAAACAATTTTGATTTTTTGCCATAAGTAATATTTTTACAAAATTATCAAGCAAACATACAGATGTGAGAACTGTCATAACTTCTGAGTATCAC